TTTTTTTACTGTAAAAGAAGGGGGGAGGGGAGGGGGGATGCGCTAGTGAGAATGACTTTTGAGCAAGCAGTTACAGCTTTCCCAAGGGGTAACTAGTTCCAAAATCAGTTTGCTTTGCAGCCTGTGTTTTATTTAGCACCTTTTTCTGGTATTGCTTCAGCTTGTCCCTCTGCTGTTTCAATGCCTGAAAAATCACATAGTATTAAATGATTATTTTTAATATGCAGCCATAAGTAAATACTTTTGATTTGATGTACATTAATTGTACTGTCTGGTTTCTGGTGGGTAAGTTGCTCTGAAATATAGTACTTAAACTTGTAGGTATATAGTAGAATAGTTTCGAACTTCATCATCATTAATTTATTCTTTACTGTTAGAATGTTTGTCAGAGTGCTTTTTTACCAACCTGGTTGCAGTTGACCTGCAAGACTTGGCAATTTCAACGAGAGTAGCAAGAGGGAAGGAGCAGGGGGAGGGGTCTCATATGAACCTCATATGAACCCTTTGCCATGAACCCTTTGCCATGCACCCTTTTCAAAGAATGAACCCTGTTTTACAACTTACTTTATTTTGGACGTCTATCTATCTATTCATATTTATCTAGCCTGCTGAGTACCCTGCATGGCATTTAATTGTTGATGGTTTCAGCAAAAGAAGGAAGCTAAAATGTTATGAGATTAGCCTTAGTTAAAAGTATTCCTACCAGAATTGCTTTATCCTGTTCAGTGATCTTTGGTTTTTCAGGTTCTTTCTTTTTGCTAAATAAAGACCCCATATTTCTCAAATGAAGATAAGGACAGCTAGTTAGTGAAGGCTATAACGTTGGTGCGTTTGCGACAACAGAACTAGGACATTTCTTTCGTTCCTACACAGGAAGTAAAACTGCCGCCATCTTATTTTGTTGCAACCAGATGAAAAGCATGAAAACGAGGCACTCTTTGCAATTTGGTATTCAAGATGGCGCTTGGCGCTATTTGAGTCTTACGCGTGAATTTCTTGTTCAAGTGGAGAAGTCTTCATGGCAGAATGAAATGGTATGAGTGGGAGACCACAGGGCCGTGGTAGGCAAACACGCAGAGACCGCTCTCAGCGAAATAAAGGCCGAGACCACTCTGCAGACTCAGTGGGCAGCACTACAAGTACTCAAAGTGAAAGAGAAAGAGATCGAGAAAGGGAACAACGAAATGGGCGGAACACCAGACGTCGTCCTGAAAAGAAAGACGACCGAGGCAGACGAAAAAATGAGGAAACTAGAAGAGATGTTTCCGATAGGGAAGGCAGCAAAGTCAATGCTGTTGAAAAAGATAAAGGAAAGCCTCGCTCAGAGTCTGAGAAACAACCTCCTCGCGGAAGAGGTGAACCTAGCCGAGATCCTGCTAGGGAGTTAAACCGAGACAGTTTTGCTTCTAAAAGCTCAGCTAATGGTAAGTAGAAGAATAAAAATTCGTACCTTTATTGGTTCTAGACTACTGTATCTATGATAGTTGGCTTATGTTGTAGACGTTCAACGGCAGAGACAATTGTGTTTATTACAATGAGGCGCCGTTGTTCAAATTTGAAAGCCGCAATTGCAGTAGCCGAGCATTTTGTTGTGAAAGCACACGCTACGGCGGAAAATTATGTCTGAAGGTTTCTTTGGAGTTATTGCAATTTTCCAAGTGCAATTTATATCGAGTCTTGTTACCATACAGTCGACCTCAAGAGTATAAATTTAAGCTTATCAAACGAAAAGAGATCGTTACTTTCAGCTTCCGGCTATACACTATGAAGTACTGAAAAATTCATCAATAGATAGCGATTATGCTATTTTTACTGTTTTTGCACGCGAAATTTGTTTGTGCAAGCTTTGAACATTTTACTCGATATGTGTTTAGGTAATTTGTTATGGTGTTAATTTCAATTTTTTCTACATCTGAGCACAGTACTAGAACCCAGCCTTCAAGAATTCAGAAAGCCATTAATAGCTGACCATAGCTCCGTAATTTAGCTCCTGGCTCAATTATTTTGCACATCTGAGTAAAGCAATTGAACCCAGCCCTCATGAACAGAAGGGTTGGACGGGTTGTTTCTTTTAATCTTTTTAATTACTGTTTGAAATGGAACAGCACAACATTTGTCATTGAGCTGAAAGAGTCAAATGATGTGGATTCCTTATCTTCAAATTTCCTTCCCCATGCTAATTAATTCTCAATTAGGCCCAGTGGGGATAATGGATAACGCTATCCAGCAGATAAATAATTGGTCAGTGTAAAATGATGCAGACTGCAGACTAACTTTAACCTTGACCAAATTTTAGCCAAAAACCCCAATAACTAACCAATTATTTACTTAACCTCCTCATTGTGCAAAGCAGGACACCTAAGGCCATAATAACTAACCAATCCTCTGTAAATTAGCTCTGGCTCTAAAATTAACCCTAAAACTAACCCTACACTGTACCTCTCAGTTAGTTACGTGCTTAGCTAAATGTGAAGCTAAAAAACTAATCACATATAATTTTGGTGCAAGCTGTGGACTGAAATGAGGTTTTAGCTTAACAGTTAACTTACTGGTCAGCTTTGGTGAAAATTAACCAAAAATATCAGAGATCTGTGGACATCTTTGGAAGAAAGGATGCTTTTTAGTCTCCTGCCCCATCTCATCACTTTATCTTTATCAGCTTAGTCCAACTAAGAAAAGAGGTTTGTTTCTGAAGGTGGGTCATTACTTGAAAAAAATTCTTTGGTCAGACAAGGTCATTCCATTAGATTTAATTGTCCAGCTTTGATGGCCTTTGATACTCCTCTTATTTAGCAATAAAGTTATCAAAACACTTGGGTCATATGTAAATAGAATTCCTATTAAGCAAGAGAAGTTTCTGGAAGTATTTTTCTTAACTGCTTACTTAATATAAAATCGGGTGTCATGTTTTATTTTTCAGAACGAAATAACATGTTTGGTGATGATTCTCGTTTATCGCATCTTGTAAAGAGGATTACCAAAGAGTCTGAACGTGAGCGACGTTTAACTGCAGCTCAACAGTTTGAAGAATTCCTTAGCACTCCTGATAATTATCAGGTAATCTTGATGATGTAGTTGTACACCATATCACTGGTCAACACTTGGGGACTATTGCACTAGTTAAACACATAAGCATGGTAATTTTATAAAAAGTACTTGACCTTTTTGGTGCAAAAATCTAGCTGGTATACTGTGTTGGAAGAACACATTATAAATTAAAGGTATCTTACCTTTTAAGAATCATTTTAAATTTGTGGTTTACAAACTCTTTGTGTTCTTCCTGTCATCATTAAACAAACTATTGAAATACATACACATTACTTATGGCATAAATTGAGTGTTCAAAGATCGGATCATATTTTTCTTGTGGCTTTGTGCTTGTACATGAGCTCCCCAATCACAAGCTTGCTTGCAGGCTAAATTGTGTATTGCTTGCTAGAGTGGTGCTTAATTCTGGTTTCCATAACATGTCGTAATATCAGTAGTGCTATTTTCTCTGAATGAGATGTTAGTCCATTGCAGGTAACATGGCATTTTTGTCAGGTTGAAAACGTTTTTCATTTATCTTTTCCCCTAAAGGGTGTGAACATTATATGTAGACCAGTAAATCAATACCAGGTTATAAACAATAAGTTACATGTAGTCGTAATAACTATAGCCAAATGTACTTTGAATAGTACTGAACTTGAGGTTTTGGTCATTGTTGATCAGCTTTCCAAGTTATTCAAACGTTTTCTTATGTTTCCAGATAGTAGACAAGTATGCAGAGAATCTATTTTCAGCCTTAGAAGATGTGCTGTTTGAAAGGTAAAATTGTTTTCTAAGAGGATAGGTATGTTATTATTAATAAAACAGAGGAGTCCAATTCAACAAAGTCGAACAACTGTAAAGCTTGAGTCATATTTGTTAAGCACAAGTATAATAAATAATTGGTCTTTAACTTTTCATTGATTTGATGTCAGTATCTAGGTAATTATATGGTTTCGAGTTCAATTTGGAATTAATTTGCACAAGTGAGTTTTTCAAAAAGTTGAAATTGCACAAGCCACTTCAGCGAGTGCAATTTCAACTTTTTGAAAACTCACATATGCAAATTAATTCCAAATTGAATGAGAAAAACCGTATGATTACTTATTAATAATATAACATGAAAAAATTTGCATGGAGGAAGTGCTGGAAGTTCTTTCTTGAAGCAATTTTTCTCATTTGAGAAAACTTTTTTCAAAGTTTCTGCACAAAATTTTCATCATCATTTTACGTGATATCATCGGCTTACAAAATGTCCTGTTGTCTTTCAGCCAATCATAATCCAGAATTACGATGAGTAATTTGCACTGGTGTTACACTTTTTGCACTGGTGTTACACTTGATTTGCACTGCTCTCAGCCAATCAGAATTGAGTAATTTTTTTTGTGTATATTATTATAAGTATAATATTATTAAACACCAAATTGAAATGTGCTGGGTCCTGTAAGTAAGTAATCACAATGGAAGCAATATTGTTGGTTGTAAAAAAGGAATGAAATGTTCATGGGTAAGAGGAAGGCAAGTGTTAATTTGTTTCTGACAGGTATAACCAAGGAACCTATTCAAAGACAACTACCCTATTGCAGCACTGTAAATGAGGTTTTCTGTCTAATCACTCAGGCATTTTGATTTGGTTATAATCTTTACAGGGGACAGCCAGAACTTAAAGAGAAAGTAGCACTATGTGTTGGTTTGATTGGTGGAATTTTAGGCAATGAGGCTGGAAGGTAAGCAGATGAGATACTTAAAATTTTTGTAGCCTGTTGGTTATTATAGCTCTGATCTCAAACTTTCTTGACTGTGCTGCTGTATACCATTTGCTAATTGACCATGCCACAAATGATCCATGGTGGTCCTTTGAAGCTATCATTATAATTGTAGTTAACATTAGTAAAATTTGTGCACAGGTTTTTTCAGTGGATCTTTACCAAACTAGAGTCATCTGTATCGGATGAAGTCAAGATCTTACTGCTTACCGCACTGTCAAAGGTAAATGCATGGTTACTTGCCAAGTGATTAGTTTTGTTCACTGATTCTTGACATCAGTTTTGTTTCATTGAAAAAAGTTAAATAACCAACTAACCAAGCTATTGACTGATTGATTCTTGTTAACTAAAATGTATATTAAGTAAAATTGGTCTTTCATTGTTTTGTTTCTTTTGTCTGGTCATTCTGTCTATTCATTTGTTATCCCCATACCTGTTTGTCTATACCTTTGTCTGCATTTCTCTATCTTGTCTGGTTGTTTGCCTGTCTGTTTTTTAGTCTTTCCATTTGTCTGTTTACAACAAATGTGTCACATGCCTTACAGGAAATATCTCATGTTAAAGACTTTAACACTAACACAAAGCATATGCATTATAGAGAGAGCACTTGTTATTTTATCAGTAATATTATCTTTTTCTTACTTTCATTAAAGGCGATTCAAGTGGACACCAAAAACAAATGCTTCAGAGATTTCATGATGGTAAGTAGGGGTTGCACTGGCATTTGTTGCAGTTAAACAAAAGTTGATCTGGAAAGTATTTTGTGATACAGTATATCTGATTTCTTTCAGAACGTCATGAGCAGCTTGCAGAATATCTTGGAAAATGTGGATACATCAGGTAGTGGGATCTTCTATCACTTTCACAATTCTTAAAATTGGTTTATTTTTTAATAAGTAATAGTAATTGCTCTGAGTAAAGAACAATCTAGGTAATAATCTGGGAAGTAATTTAAATTGTCTGAACGTGCAGAGAAAGGCTGATTTGAATGTAAATGCCCAGTTACTCTTTAAATTGTTTGACGTTGTTCCAATTATCGATGATTGTATCAATAACATTTAAAGATTAAGAAGTCTTTAAGAACTTCTTTTTAGTGAAGAAGTTTTACTAGTATTAGGGAATTCAAATTTAATATTATCTCTGAAATGAAACTCCAAGTGCATCACGACAGTTTAAAATGTTTTGTATCATTTTGAAAATTTTGGTACTAATTGAAAAAAAAACTTGTACTGGTTCAGCAACAAATAAACAAATTGAATGTGGTTTAGCGTGGTCTGTACTCTTATCGACAACGAGTACGCATCGTTACAGTGGTTAAAATGTTGTGGACTCACTCGGCTACGCCTTGTGAGTTCACAACAAATTTTGACCACTGTGATGACACATACTCGTTGTCGATAAGAGTACAGACCACACTAAACCACATTTCGATTTGTTTTTTACCACAATATCAATGTCAAAGAGAATTTTTTTTCAGAGCGCAAGTTGAAAAAGGCATTGCGTGACACATTGGCATGAGCAGCGTGCTATGGACTCTTATCAATAATGGCAAATTAGCCAATCAGATTGCGAGATTAGCAGCAACTGTGATAAAATAATTATTTTACCATGGTTAACATTCATTGTATATGTTGATGTTGTTGATTAACAGATTTGCTACGTGCAGCTCTTAATGTGATGATGCCAATTGCTCTAGACTACCCACATGCATTTGCAGGCCACTTCAGGGTAAGCTATTTTTGACAGAATAATAGATGATTTTCTTCCACTTCCTTTCTGTTTTTGCTTGTTTTAACCATTGTTAATTGCTCTTATTCTTGTCCAAAGAAAACCAAACTTGCCCTTCTTGCAAGCCTTAGCTATGATGCAGAAGCCTAAGAGTCTTTCTCTCTAGTCCTCCAAAATGTCTTAGTAGCAGGATTAAATAATGTCAGACAATTTTTCCAAAAAACTTCACTTGCCTGTCGGGCAAGCAAAGTACAAATTCCAGTGGTCCTACTGAAAATCCACTAGCACCGGGCTATCAGACACAAGTTTCCCTGCGTGCTGCTATTTGATTTAAAGTTTTTTTTGTAGGACACTGTAGACATCCTTGTTGGATGGCACATAGACACTTCACAGCAGAATTCTCTCACCAGCTACACATCAGGTTTGTTGAAGTCTGCAAATATTTAACAATCTAAGAAGAGAGAAACTGTTGGTTCAGTTGTTCACAACTTAGCCTTTTGCAAACATGAAACAGTTTGAAAAAAAAAAAAAATTTAATGTACAGTGATGCCAGTCAAAGCCCCAGTTGAGGGTTTCAGGTTTTCCCAAATATTCACAAGTGTCACCCATGTTTAATTTGGTAAAAGCACAAAGATAGTATGAATTTCCCTCACTTTATGTTTAAAAGGACGGAAAGGAAAAGCACTCATTTGTTATGATGATTTAAATGTAAATTCTCTTTGCTCGCCTTATTATCATATCAGCAGCTCTTGTCAGCTTTTCTGTAAAGTTCTTGAAATTCGACTTTGAGTGTGCTCAACCTGACAGGGTGGTAATGGTAATCAAACTGAAATTGCTGGTGATCCTTATTGAGGAAACATGTATTTTATTTTCATATACTTTCATTTCTTTCTTATGATTTTAGAAAAGTTTTGGTCTAGTCAGTTCATTAGTGGCTTAAGCATTTCTTATGATGTTACAGAATGTCTGGTTAAGTTGCATGACTACTGGGCTTCAGACATTGCCTTTTCTCTGACACTACTGAGCCAGTTTCTTGAAGATATGGAAGCTTATGCCGAGGTGAGCAAAGAAAAGTCAGCTGGTGTATGGAAACATAGTTTGACTGGTCCACTGGTTGCTGATCTAATTTTTCTGACTGTTGGTTTGGGTCATCATGTCATTTTGTATATACCGTGTTGAAGAAATCCTATTTGCTTAGAGTTAAAGATTTGCATGGGGGGGGGGGGGGGGG